ATATTGAAATAAATAAATTATATTTATATTTATAATAATAAAAAATAATTATATTTATATAAATTTATTAGAAAATAAAATTATTTCTCAATTGATATATTTATGTTTAATATAGTTATATGTTGTAAGTTAAAAAAATTATTATAATATAACACAGGTAAGTCTCACAAGTAAAAGTGTCATACTAAATATATATTAATATATATTTTTATAGAAGGTACTTAAATTTTTAACTATTTTTTCTCATTAATTTTAGATTTTAAGAAAAAAAAAATTAGCAAGCACCCGTGTAATACACGGGAGTTGTACTAGTCATAATATATTTAAGGCAGTTCAAAAGGGATTAGCTTTTGTACGATAGCAGTATATCCCATGTTGCAAATACGCAACACTCAAATAACACCAAACGGTTTTAACCATAAGTTGGGCTTTACTTTCATGTTTGATGAAAGCCCACTTAGTACAGCCTTCATTAACGGCCAATATTCCCCAACTGTCCAATCAAAAAGAAGCATTCCATAAAAAAAAAATATAGGATTTTAAAAATGTTATAGTTCTTCCAACTTATTGTAGACGCAAGGTTCCAAAAATCGAAACCGTGAAGCTACTGGTTCAATGGTTCGCTGGTCGGACAATTCGTTGAATTAGTTTAATTATTATATATTTTTTTATTTATTTTATATGCATAATATATAATTTTATATATTTTTATCATTAATTTTACAGTGTAGTACGACATTTTTCTAAAAATGAGTTCAATAATCAATATTCTATTTATAATTTAAATATACCATAAACAATACTAATTTAAGTTCATAATAATAACTACATGAATGAATTAATCATTCAAATTCCAATGTCTAAAGCAATTAAGCAAGACAGTTCAAATAGCACAAACTATTAATTTACAAAATAAAGTGAACAGAGATACAACCTAAGGCTTGTAACTTTTTTTTTTTTATATTTTAAATCAAATTTTAATTTTTTTTATTCTTTTTAGTTTCCATTATGTGAAGATTAAAAAACTAAAAAATCAATTTTGGGTTTCGGCTTTGTTTAAAATGTAAAAGTTGATGGGCTGATGTTGGGCTAGCAAGATACATCTTTGGGCTAATCAACCTTTCCAAATTTAAGGACGACCAGCGCCACCACTACCTTCTGTCCCCAATCAGCAGTCTTTTCCTTCATTAGCCACCACAAATGCTGGGCGGGCTCCGGCCCAATCATAATTTTCCAACTTACTAATTTTGTGGTAAAAAATATTTGAGAAATTTATTCCCTTTACAATTCATTGACTAAATAATATCACAATTACGATGACACAAATATTTTATCTCAATTACGTTTTACATAATTAATATAATATTAATAGGTGAAACGGTTATAAGAGGTGATAAGAGAAATTAAATTTATTTTTTGAG